TGGCCCCTCAAGGGGATTAGTTAGTTTTATCATCCCAATCCCAGAGGAAGAAGGACTGAGAGGGAAGTATGCTCTTTGGACCCAGGTTCATTGTGCTGAGAAACTGCTAGACCAGTTTGCCAAACTTCACAAAAAAACAGGTATTGGTTCTGCTGAACCAGTGCAAACTGACTGATTCCCGTCAATGGCTGAAACACCGAGACCAGCTGTGACACTCGCTGCGGCGGTGGCGTGAGCTGGCAGCAGGGTTCGTTCGACACAGAGGAAGAGAGGACACTGTCTTGATTGAAGAACGGTATTCTCGGGTGTTACCGAGTTATTACATGAGTATGGTCTGTGTGTTGTGTGTGTGGTCGATGCAACACGTGATTGAACCTGGCAGAAAACTAGAGTGCGGTGGAAGGGATGGCTGTTGTCAGAATTGGTGACACAGGTTGGAGGGCGGAGGAGCATCTGACCTGCACCTCGTGGGCTTCCGTCTGGGGATGATCTTGATGATTCTCTCTCCTCTTTCTAAAGTTAGACAGGGCTAGCACCGCCCCTATCCACTGTGTCTGGCACCACGTCTCCTGATCAGCTGGATTTCCCAGCAGATAATTCATGGTCTTGTCTCCACTCACCACTGCCTCTTAGGTCCGGTTGTCCTATCACATGCTTTGTTTGTCAAATGTCTGTGATTTCTGGAACCAAGATCTGAGTCAGGATGTGGAGACACATTTATCTTTGTAGCTCCTCTTCTATCTGTGAAACAATGGAATTCCTCAGTGTCATCGAAATGGTGAAAAGAACAATGTATGAACCAGCAAGTGGAACACACACATCCTGGCGTCTCTAAACAAGCTCACACTTCTTAAAAGTTTGCTCAGATATTTTATGACGGATAAAAGTTGTCCTCTAAACAAGTGGCCATCTAGCTGAAAAGCAACAAATCCCTAATGGAAGAAGCACAACACCCCATGTGATCGTGAGGTGTCCATGGGATCAGGAATCAGGCATCAAAGACTCAGAACAAAACACCAACATATCGATGTGAATGACGGGGAGGGCAGAGTGGAGACCCAAAATCCATCTGTAGACAATTGGACATCCCCTTACAGAAAGGTCACAAGGAAGAGATGCACCAGTCAGGGTGCAGTATACCACCAATGAAACATACAATTTTCCTCTAGTTCTTTAGTGCTTCCTTCCTACCAAGATCATATCCCCAATTTACCTTACAAATCCGACCAGACCAGAGGATGTACATGGGTACAGATAAGAAATGGAAACACAGGACAGTTAAACCCCTCAGGACCAATAATGAGAGTAGAGATACCAGGAGGGTAAAGGGAAGGTGGGGGGAGCAAAGGGGTACTGATCACAATGATCACTATATAACCCCCTCTCAGGGGGATGAACAACAGAAAAGTGGGTGAAGGGAGACTGCGATAGGAGTAAGACATGAAACAATAATAATAGCTTATAAATTATCAAGGGTTCATGAGGGAGAGGGGGTGAGGAAGGGAGGGAAAAAAAGAGGAGCCGAGACCAAGGGCTCAAGTAGAAAAAATGTTTTGAGAATGATGGTGGCATCAAATATACAAATGTGCTTGACACAATGGATGTATGTATGGATTGTGATAAGAGCTGTTAAGAGCCCCCAATAAAATGATTTTTAGAAAAGAAAGAAAATTAATACTCCAGGAGCCAAAAGCCATTGCGTGCACTTTACCAGGGGAGGAAAATAATACAGCTTTCTTTTTTGGGGGGGCGAGGGGGGGGGAGAGGGAGTTGTCCTCAATGTCATTCATTTGGCATCAGACGTGGCCGCAGTGCCTTTTGGAAGTGACAGCTTGACACTGATGTCACAAAGACTCGCAGCCCTCGGGGACAACATCCATGGCGTCATTCAACAGAACCTCCAGTGACATCTGCTCTCGAAAGTACAGTGACGAAGACACGGGCGTCCGTGCCCAGGAGCTCCGCTAATTGAGAAACAGCCTCGGAAGGTCTGTCGTCCTCTGTGTGACCCTCAAGGCCAGCACTTCCAAATGCCAGCCGCTCCATGGGAGAAAGACGGGGCTTCCTACTCCCTTCCAGCTGCCGTCTGGGCCACTCACGGGGGCAGCTGGACCCTGTCCTGTCGGGACGCTCTGAGTGGGAGCAGAGAGCCGTGTCTCTGTCCGCAGGGCTGTCAAGGCCATTGGCCCATGGAGATTCGTTAGTCCAGTGGATCGAGTGGGAGGGCAGCACATTGGAGGGGAATTCATGCAGCTGAGCAAGAATGTGTTCCACATTTACTCATTGTTTCCACTGATTTGATTTCACTAAGCGCAGATGTGCAGAAACGTGGGGGGTATCTGATGTGTTCATGTGCTGTCGAGCAGTTGATTTCCAACTTCTGCCCAGAAACGCTACATTGAGTTTCCCAGGCTGTAATCTTGACAGAGGCAAGAGATCACCTGGCCTTTCTTCTGCAGGGCCACTGGATGGGTTTCACCTCCAACCTTTGGGTTAGCAGCCTGGTGCGTCACCATTGCGCCACCAAGCTCCTTTAGTTGATTCTAACTCAACGTATTTCCAGACTCAAAATTTATTTGCAGTAGTGTGAGGTGGCTGGATCGAAAACATCAAATACACAGCTCCCTGAGTGTTTCTGCGACTGTAACTGTTCACAGGCGTAGAAAGCCCAAATCGTCCGCCTGCAGAACTGCTGGTGGTTTTGAACTGACGACCATGTGAATTGCAGCCCAACGAATAAACACTATACCACCAGGGTGCAAGGATGCTGAGTAGATCCTTAGATCTTTAGCCAATCCCTGGAAATCCTGGGAGAAAGACAAGGCTCTCTGTTCCTGTAACGAGTTAGTTTCAGAAATCCATAAGAGCAGGTCCACCCTGCCCTAGAGGGTGGCTATTAGTCTTACCGATTCCCTACAGTGAGTTGTATAGGTTCTTCTCCTGCACAGCTCAGGAACCCAGGAAAGTGGCCTAGGATTTAGTCAGATTTTATCTCTGCACAATAAAGGGGGTGGAGGGGCGGGGAGGCTAGAGAGGGGAGCTGGAGGCTTAAGTATAAGTAAAAAAACCCCGAAATATTCGAAGATTCTTATAGTCATGTATGAAAAGGCAGAAAAATTAAGGACATAAACTATCAGGAAAAGATGTCACACGATTTCAAGCACTATAAAAAGCGCTCTTCAGCAACCTGCCTTCTCCTTCCTCCAGCTTCTCTGAAAGCGAACTAGCTCCATCTGGTACAGGCCCCGTGCTCCTGCGTGCCGCCCCATCACGCCTGCTCCCCGATGTAGGCCGGCGGTCAGCACAAGAGAAGCTGCCTGTAAGCCAGGGCGGAAGGACTCCATGTGAGTTTTCTTTGCCCCGGGTGGATATTCACATACTTATAGTTTAAAAACCCACCAGGTCATCTCTATTTGCTTTTCTCCCCAAATCCAGACCACAAAAGCACCGTTCTCTTTGAATTCCATCAGGTAGCTTGGTTGCCAGCTTCGTCTAGTCTAACAGCCCCAGTCCCTGACTCTCAACAGGACAGAAGCGGTTTGCAGCCTGAAAAATGCTGCCGCACAAGCTCCTTTCTCCTCAGGAGTGGACACCTTTTTGAGTATTTAAAATAACGTCTATATTTTAGCTAGCTATATCTATATGTCCATCCATCTACCATCGCTCTATGGTTATCTATCTATCATCTATCTATCTATCTATCTATCTATCTATCTATCTATCTATCTATCTATCTATCTATCTATCTATCTATCTATCTGTCATCTATCTACCTACCTATCCAGAAGGCCAATAGGGAAGAAAAACCTCAAGTCTAAACCAACTGTGATCAAGTTTAATCCAAGTCCTATCAACCCTTTCGGGCAGAGTAGAATTTTCCCTGGGCTTTCAGAGACTATAAATCTTTTTTTAAAAAAATCATTTTATTGGGGGCTCTTATAGGTCTTATAACATTCCATACATCAATTGTATAAAATATATTTGTACACGTTGCCAAAAATATTTTCTAATCATTTACTTTCTAGATCAGTTCCTCTTTCTTCCTTCCCCCTCTTGTGACCCCCTGATAAATTATAAATGACTATTGTTTTCATATGTTACACAGACTGCTATCTTCCTTCACCCACTTTTCTGTTTTTCGTCCTCCTGGGGATGGGGATTATGTATCAGTCATTTTGAAGGCTCCCTTTTCCTCCCCTCCTTCCCACACCCTCCTGGTATTGCTACACCAATTTCAATCCCAGTGGGGTTTATCCTTCCTGGATTCCATGTGTGTGAGCTCTTATCTGTACCAGTGTACATGTTCCCGTCTAGCCAGAACTGAAAGGTAGGACTGGGGTCATGATAGTGGGGGTGAGGAAGCCTCAAAAAACCAAAGGAATAGTATTTCATCAGTGCTATACTGCGCTCTGGTCTCCCTTCCTAGTGACCTTTCTGTGAGGGGATGTCCTACTGTCTAGGGATGGGTTTGGGGGTCTCTGCTCCCCTTGTTCTCAACATTTTGTTTTGTTTGATGCCTTCTGGTGCCTGTTACCCGATTCCGTCAACACCTCATGAAGGCGCAGGCTGGTGTGACATCTTTCTGGGGCAGTCAATTTTCTCTTTCCCATGGAGTAACTGGTGGGTTTGAACAGCTGACCCTGTGGTTAAGCAGCCCAATGCTTATCCCGCTGCCCCATCAGGGCTCCTCCGATGGAGAGCACTCCTGTGAAGCTATGTGGCAGTGGTTTTTTTCTTCAATTTTTCCCACGCCTGGCTTCTTTTTACCTACAGTTTAAGAAGCTTTGGAGAGGGTGGACAGGTGTTAACTTGAGTGAAGTAACAATAATGTCCTAAAAGAGGGGGAAGAGCAAAAACAAAACAAGATAAAATAAAAACAAAAGAGGAGCAGGGTAAGCTCTTGGGAGGCTTGATGCAGTGCTGAATACAGAATGGCGATCTGACGTGGAAACCTCCACCAAAGCCACCCTCGGTGAAAACACAAAACGACGGCAAGCAGGGCGATTTTAAAACCGCTTTATTTATCGACATTTCAGAACCATTTAAATCGACAGACAATGAAGTTCTTCAGACATAACATCCTGTGTTTATCTTGAGGTACAAATTGGGCCCATTAGATTATGCTCAGGAGAATAACACAACTGTCAACTGGTAGTTAACCACTCACGTTTTCCAAGCAAAGACAGTTATAAAGCTGGTGACCAAATTCTTTGACAAGAGTACACTATTTCCATGTAAGTCAAGGAATGACAGCCCCTCCACACCCTTCCCCCACCCCGCATGTTTTAATCGACAGAGCTCCATTTTCAGCCTGCTTGCTTACACAACACTCTACATGGAACGTATTATGAAAATGGGAGGGAAAGTTGGCAGCAAAGACACGACCTAAGCCCAGCTACCTATTCAGGATTGCAAACAAAGGAAATCTGCAATCTGATAAGCTCTATTACAAAATTCATAACCTAAAAGTTAGAGCAGCAACACGGCAGAAGATATTTGTATATAATTTTAACTGAACGCACACGTACCCCTCCCTTCTGGCTGCTTCAATGAGACGAATTTCTAAGACACCAAGTTTTGAAGACTAAGTGACATGACTTAGTAAGAGTGGCCGGAAGAACCATCGATTACCCCGTCCTGCCGCATTCAGTCCTTACCTATGCCTACTGCTTACACTACGGGCATCTTCCACCTCTGGCCACAGCAGCCCAATCAATAGTGTGAACAGATGAGATGAGCGTGAGGTTTCTGAAAGCCTCGTGTGTCTAGTGCAGACTTGCCATTTCTGGTGGACCGAAATGTTCCTCCAGTTCTGGAGGGTCTTTGGAGCAGGGTCTCGTTTTCCAGCGTCACGCAGCATGTTCATGACAACACACGAGTTAGGCCAGGGGAAATCATGGTCTCTCCTCTGAGGAGCAGCAGGGCTGTGCTCTTAAAAAACCCAAACCCAACAAAACAAAACACACACGGCCATCGGTCGATCGAGTCATTGCTGTCTCATAGACACCCCCAGTGGGTTTCCAAGACGGTAACTGTTTACGGGAGTAGAAAGCCCAGTCTTTCTCCTGAGGAGCTGCTCGGGGTTTTGAACTGCTGACCATGCTGATCACAGCCCAACTCCTCACCACGGCACTACCCGGGGTGTGCTATGTATGGCTCTGGAATATGAGCAGAGAGGTTTCTGGATGAGTAGGAGAATGGTTGGGCCTGCTGTCCTCCTTCCCGAAAGGTTGCTGTTCTGTTCAATTGCCAATCTGGTGAAGGCGGCAGTGTACCGAGCCTTGAGGAATCTAAGGGCAATGTTCACAGTTCAAGTCAAGCAGCTCCCAACCCGAAGAGGACAGGACTTGCAGACATTTGGGATTCTCAGATGGAAGTGACCTGCAAGTGTTTGAGCTCTTCCGCCCAACGTTTTAGATTTTAGCTGCTTGGCTTGCTTTATTGCTCTTTATTGCTCAGAGACTGCTCTTCTCTGAGGAGGGCTGTGATGAGTTTTGCCAGGAGTTTAAAGACCCCAAAAAGGGTTCTGTTTAGACATGTCTCCTGTAGGCACCTGCCAGGAGGAAGGTGCTGCTGGTGGTGGCGGCGGCTGAACACGGTTGCCACCGGACAGCCACAGCTCTGAGCAGGGCCGGGCTGTCTCCTTCATAGCTCAGCTCAGCATTTCTTGTTGTGATTCTCTCCAGGGGACCAGGGCCTTGTCTAGTCCCTTTCTACCGATAGGCGTTCAGTTCTGGACTGACTTATTATGGTTATGTTTATTTAGAGCTTTGGAGATGACGAATATATTTACTACAATATAAAATATCCCAAGTCAATGAAAAAAAAAATTGAACCAATCAGGAGACATAAGCTACTCATAGATTCATTTTACACCGTGAGAGAGGCTGCTGTTTCTGTCACCTGTGGATTCTACAGACTCCACACATTTAACTCCACACATCCTGCTACCCCAAGGGCTGCATCCCTCTTCAACATAAACGTGCCTCAGCAGGAGCCCTGGTTTTGTATATAGGTGGAGGGCAGGGCCGTGTCTTTTTCCAGCCTGGCATCATCAGCTCCAGCACAGCACCTGACCCGGGAGAGGTGCTTGACAAATGTTGAACCGGTGAGCGTCCCAGAGGAACCAGGCCCTGCCCTCCAAAGGGTCGCACGCTGTCAATCAACACAGGACAAAAACAAAACAAAGAACCCCAACAATTTTGTGTCAAGTTTTGCGAGAGCAAAGGTAAAATAAAAATGTTAAAAAGGTTCAATTGTTTACATGGGGCAACCTTCATAATAAACCACGCCTGGCTCTGCTGCTCCTTCTGAATCCGAGAGTTGTGTCCAAGGACTACGGCTTCAGCAAATCGGATAAGGGCTAATTTTTCAACGGTACTTTACCAGTTTTCACTTGAAAAGTTCTGAGGTTAGTGTGTGAAGTAAGGGGCTCACTCCACACACCCTTTGGGGTGCTTTCCAAACACGAAAGTGAGTGCAGGGCGTGGTGTCCGGGAGTGCAGTACCAGAAACGCCTTCAGAGATGCGCTGTTTACTTTGACAGGGGCGCTCCGGACAGACGCATTTTAGAGAATGCTTTCCATGTAAGAGTATTTATATTATGGGAGAGAAAAATCCCCTCCCTTTTGAAAGAAGAGCTACCATCCAAAGGAGGCCCTGGGAGGTGTCAACGCACTTGGCTCATGGAAAGCTTGGCGGTTCGAGCCCACGCAGAGGTGCCTCGTGAGAAAGCGCTGGTGTTCAATTCCGGAACCCCCATCGGAGCACAGGCCTACGCGGACGCACACGGGCTGGTGGAGCCGGGCTCGACTGGGTGGAAACCTCGCTTTAAGATGGAAAATGAGACTAGGCATCAAATCATTCTGACTTCTAACTGTGAGACAGACTGACATTTAATGCCAGGAAATAGAGACTAGGTCTATGAAAAATAAGATCTGCGGCACTAGACTGGTGGGGTAGGCACACATGTCAAGGGGTCACAACCTCCTGTCCTCGGATTATGATCATTCGGTGAGCAGGAAACGCAGCTGAGGGAACAGAATGCAATCCTGCAAGCCACTCGGACGCTCTGCTGGGGGACCTGCCTGGCCGAGCACCGAGGTGCAGCGTTAGACTGTGTGCGTCTGGGGTCCGGGGCGGACTCTGGGGAGGCAGGGCTGTTTGGATAGCACCTTGCTCCTGCTTCAACTTGCCCTACGGCTTCTCTTCCTCCAGAAAGAATGACGACACTGCAGTTTATTTTGGAATATTTAATCATATTTAGTGAAAATGGTCAAACGAATGTCCTGGAGTTCTTGGAAGGAAACGAATGAAAACAGGATCATGAGTATTTTCTTTGGAAAAGAGGGGGAAAATGTTTGCGAAGTAACGCCACACTCTGGGATTTTACAAAGGATTCAGATGGAGCGCACGTAACAACAGGGGGTTGTAGCTCAGGCTTCTGCTGAAGCCCGAAGCAAGGTGACAACCCGATGTGGTCCCAGAAATGCTCTCCAGACCCCTCACGACAGCCACGCAGGGGACTGAGACCCTCCAACCAGAGGGGAACTAACATCTGGCGGAAAATATTCCTTCCCCAGACATCAGCATGGTAGTAGTATATATAAAACCCAGCCCCATAAAGGGGGTAAAGTCAAATGTAATTCTTCAATAGACTCTCCAGTGACTGGTTGTGTGTCTTCCATTACAAAGGCTAACAAAATCCAACTTTGAGTGACAGGGTTCTGGGACTCTTTGGGCTCACTCTGTCCCCTATTCCTAAGAGTGCCTTGATTTTCCCTTCTAGCTCCCAAACTTCAATGGATAGTTGCAAAAGAACAGGCTGTATCCAAAATAAACTCAGAATGAGGTTGTGTAAAACATGTGCAGGTGTATTTTGTATACGTAAATATATACATCCATATCTATATTGTTTTTCCTCTGCTCAAGAAAAAAAAATTAGCAGCAGTTACAGATAAATTATTGTTGTCATGATCTGTATAATTCCTAAGGACGTCACATAACCTCTATTACCAGACAACTTTTGGGAAAAAACATCTTTGACAAAAAGATCCCCTCGCCAAGCAGATCACATGAAGGGTCATGTCAGATCACTAACAGTTTTTAGGCACAAGAGTCCAACAATGAGCAGTGAGCAATCCAAACAACAGAGCACAGGCTAGTGTTAATCGCCTAAAGTCAACCCCAGCCCACCAACAAAAGGGAATTATTGTTCACAGGTGTTTTCTGTTTTTAAGAGTTTTATGTCGTTCAGCTTTGGCTATTTTGCAATAAATATCAGGCCTTCTCACTTAACCCGATTGGGGTTAAGAATGAAGTCTTGGAATATGCCTTTTTCCTGTTAGCAGCTGTTGAGTGTTGAGTGACGTACAAGGCACACCTCTAAGTGTTCCGTACAGCATTTTTATTGATGTACAAAATAGCCTGTTCACCATTCAAAACCGTAATCTGCATAGTAAGAGTGTCTCTGATCCCTATGTACAGAGAAGGTGTTTAGTGCAAAAACATGAAATAACATCCCTGCCCACCCCCTTCTAGAACCCCCCCCTCCAATTCCTTTCCCACTAGCTGGGGTTACTTGGCTATATCTTGGGCCTCCAGCCATTAATGAATTGCATTATCTTCTTCACCTGCAGTTTGCTCAATTTGAAATCCTCAGAGAGGATTTCTTCTGTCAGTTGAACAAGCAAACTCCCATCAATCTTTTCGGTAACGAAGAATGATATGACATCTTCAGACAAACCGATGAACCGCAACGACTTGGACACTTCTTCTATGGAGAGTTCTGAAAGGTCTGCAGGCGGCTGCCATGGGGAGCCATCGCCACAAGACCGGGGAGCCAGCTGGAGATGGAGTGGAGAGGAAAGCGGGTAGGAGATGGAGAAGATGTCCTGCATGCCCTTTTGAACAAAATACTGGTCTTCAGAGAGATCTGGAGACCCAGTCTTGGGGTCTTCCTCAGCACCATCAATTTTCAGAGGCAAAGGAGATGTCTCAGAGGCGACGGTCTCTTCCACTGCTTTGGGGGCCCGTGGGGGTAAGGCAGGGCACGAGACACTCTGCTTTGTGGTGCCCGCTGCGAGAGTTTTCTCATCGGTGCTCTCCAATGAGTAGCTCGCTGACTTGGGACAACCAGAGACGCCGCTACTGAATTCTGCAGTGACCGAGCTGGGTTCAAACTGGCTAGCCACGGGCTCACAGCCCTCAAAATCAAAAGGTGCCGGGCAGTTTCTCTTTGGTGTGCCTGGTGTCTTTTGTCTGGGATAACTGTAGCTCCTGCTTGGATCCAATAGAAAATCACTCCTGGTCTGGCTCTCAGATGCTCCCGTGTAACGGTTAGGCCATGAGAGCCTGGATGACAGAGCTTCCGCAGAAGGACTTCCAAATGGGGATTTTAGGTCCACAGAATCAGCTTTCGTTCGGTTGCAAGGATAGCAGGACACAGGAGTACTTTCTGAAGGACTCGTGTCACTCTTAGTAATGCTGCTTAAGAAAGCAAACACAGAGACAAGTTAGTGACAAACAAGAGCCCACATCCCACGCCTTCCATTATCCAGAGAGGTCACTGGCAAATAGAAAAGGGTGGGTAGGGAAATTCTATAAAGTGTCCAATAACATTTGAATGAAAAGTTTTCATAAAGTACACGGGCAATTATGGATACGCATAACTACTTACAATACAGTGGAGATGGTATAATTACTGATATGGATAATTTAAGATCTAGCAGAGATGGTGTATGTATAGGTGTGCCTATCCCGAACCCAAACCAAACCCACTCTTATAGCCAATTCTAACTCATAGCAACCCTGTATAAGGGCTTCAAGGCTGTGAATCTTTCTGAGATTTGATGGCCTCCTCTCTCTCCCTTGGAATAGCTAGTAGCCTTGAGCCACCAGCCTTGTGGTTAATAGTCCACTGCTTACCCAACAGCACTACCAGAGTACGTGCAAGCACATCTTTTTTCACCCCCCCATATACGTATTAGAAAATAACATGAAATATTTTATCATTAAGCATTAGTTAGTGGATGTCTGGATCTTTATGATGAAAGAAAAATTCAGCCACCTTTCGGCTTAACAAGTGCAATGATGGATTAGTGATGTCTGCAGTGGGCAACTGTGGAGTGAGATAGCAGGAGCTACAGTTATCCCAGACAAAAGACACCAGGCAAACTGTCCGACACCTTTTGGGTGTCTCATGCTTGCCAGCCTTGTGCTACAGGATGTAACTATACCTTCACCATCCATTACCCTATTTCTAGCAGTAAGTCTGAAGTAGGAAGAAAAGTTTCAAATAAAATGGGTATGCTTTTTAAAAATAACTTATTTATGTACAATTTAATAGTATTACCCTAAAGACTTAAATGTCCAAACAACGACAGTTAACAAAAAATACCTGTGAGGAGAGCTGCTGTAAAGTTAATGATTACAGTAGGGGCATTCAGCTCTGGGCGCCTCATTTTCGAGGCCACAGTGAAGCAAGAGTGAGCTCACAGGTAGGGAACCAGGCTACCGAGGGCCCAGGTAGAGATGCCAAGGGAAACAGTGGGCTGAACTGAGGCTGTTTCTTTTGGAGAAGTGGACTTACATCAGAGCTAATTTCAAACTTTCATGGGGTGACAAAGGCTGGTCCTGCTCATACAATTTTTCTTGACATAAGAAATAGTTGGAAGCCACAGGCAGATAGATTTCAACTCAATATTATGAAAGAGTTCTAAAAATAATTGTTAGCCTTTGCCAGTAGCGGAATGAGCTGCATTGCAAAAGAATGAGCTCACGACCCTGGAAGGATCCAGACAAGTGAATGAATGTCTACCTGACCGCAATGGTCAAGAAGGGGGCTCTCTGCTGAGCGGCATCCTCAGTGCCAGCCGCACTGGTGCTGGCCCACTTGGGTCATGGTTCAGGCAGAGAATCAGATGCTGGTCTGTGAGAATTGCTGGCAACCCGTGGGCTGCTTCCAAGAGAACACAGCAGGACGTCTTCACTGCATTTCTCAGAGGCTCTCCTGTGATCTTCCCTTCCTAAGACATTGTCCCTTCCATCTTTGTCAAAATCAACTCCTCCCCAACCCCCTGCCCCTTTCCAGTGAAATCCACCCTCCCAAACCCCCTAACCCAACCCCATTTCCTCTCCCCCTGTTGTACCTATGGTTGGGCTACCTTGCTTGTAAGAAGGGCCCCAGGCACCCGTGCACTGGCTGGGGAGAAGGAGCTGGAATGGGGACCTGGCCCGGAGACTTACATGTTGTGCAGCCCTGAAGAATAGTAGGACAGGGTGGGGCTGGGAGACCGAGTCTGTGGCCGCGCTGGCTTGGCTGTGCGAGGAGGAACCGAGGGACTGGTGGACGAAGGCTTTGCGCTCCGGGGCGGAACAGGCGGGGCGTTCAGGAGCCGGCATTCTTCCCTGACCTGGCGCGGAAAAGAACACTCGGGGTTAGCAACAGACCGACAATGGCACCGGGGCCAGCTCGATCCTCAAGGGTCAAGTCACTGCTCTCAAAGAGCAGAGCAGGGTGAGTGAGAAGACCGGAACACACACAGATGGAAAACCCTGGAGCCTGCTGGGGAGAAAACAGGGCGCCTCGCGCCTCCTTGCTGGGACAACTGATTCAGAAATAAGTCGCTCGGGACCCGTCAGTTACTGCTGAAATGTAGCAAATACCATGAGCGTTCCGGGTGTCTGCAAGGGCGCGAGACGTGTGAGGGATTATGGGAGGTTAAGGATGAAGGGGCAGAAAGCAAGCAAGATCCTTCCGCGGTCCTGGACACCCCCGGGACACCCCCCCCCCCCAGGACTCTGTGGACCTGCTCACCGAGCTTCTGACTTCCAGCCTCTTCCGACATGCGAGTGCCAAGAAGAATGATCCAGGGGTCATCTCAGGCACCCCATCTGATTCAGTAAATTTAGGGCGTTCCAGAGAGATTCTAAATTTCGGACACAGTCCCAGATCAGACAGACGCTCTTGATCTCTGGGCCAAACTTGGGTGGCAGCGCCCTTAAGTCCCCCAGCCCAGCCTTCATACGCACACTGGATTCCTTCCACTACCTGATTCCACCAGCTGTTTGCTTTCCATCCACCACCCTCAAGACTATGAAGTATTTTTCACATGTACTTCTCGGTGTCTGGCAGCAGGGGGCAGATTATACCAGATTCTCCCCATCTACCCTGACGCATGTGTTACTGCAAATGTCTTGGAAGTATCTTTGTTTTTAAAGGATGGCTCCCACCCTCTCTCCACATCCCCCCCACCCCCCGGCCTTTAACATCTTTTCTATGCAGGCAGCTTTGGGGTAATTTAGACAACAAAACAGCCAAGTTCCCATGAGCTCTGGTACGAATTTTGCATACAATAAAATAGAGTCCACATTGGATTACATCACCTGCCACCCACACTGCACACGGGTCGGGGCCTCCAACTGGCTTCCTGGGCCTCATTCACTTGCCAAAGCAAAGCCAGATGAAAGGTCATGTGACCCCGTTCACCAGCCAACCTCCATTCTGTGCGAAAGGTTTCACCTTGGACATTTTCTTCCTGGGGCTCGGATCACACCTTTGGAGCTCCAATAAAAACCCAACCCTCAGAGCAGCAGGTTCTTCCTCGATAGCTTCAGGCTGCCCCTTCTGAAAGTGTCTGGCCAGTATCATTTCTACACCCTCGATGGGAGAGCCAGCTAAAAACAGGCCTTAGTGTCGGCGGCAGACTCATCACTGGACAGGAGGGCGAGAGGATCGCACAGGAGGCGGGGGTGGGGGGTGGGGGCGGCTCTTTTAAGCAGCTGAGAACCAAGTGGGATACTGAGGTTCCAGGTGAGCTACCCCACTCTGTCTTTGGGGAAGGGGGGTTGTCTATGAGGTGGTCTAATTCCATCTACTTTCCACGAGCTTTCTGAAGCGCCCTCCTACATTGTGACGCCTTCCCTCTTCCACTTAAGTTGTGAACTAGTCGATGGCGCAGGCTCCCCTGCAGAATCTCGGCTGATGGGTGGGATTTGCCTACAGCTGATCTTGGTCCCTTTATGCGTACAGCAATGGGAACTATGGAAAACCTGCCCGCTAACTTCTCAACTTTCAAAAAAAGGGAACTTTCAATTTTGAGGTGAGGGTGGGGCATGGGGCAAACACGGCTAATGCCGAACACCATTTAGAATGTTTTGGATTCGTCATTAATTATGGTTCATCAGGAAGTCTTCTAGCTGAAATGTCCATTACAGGATTGCCAACATGTCAAATTAGAGTGTATTTTAATTTCAAAGAATCCTTGGGGGCAAGATCTTGGAATGAAAGTTGACCCCGGGGAAGTTCTCTTTCCTGTTCTTAGAACCATGGTAGGCACTCAAGGCCGTGGAGAGCAGGGGTGGAGACCTGTTCTGCCACGGGCCATTCGGCTATCTACACGCCATTTTTGGCCCATCCTGGTCAAACATTTCATTAACTTATCCCTAACGTGATGGCTGAGCTCTTTGGTGAGATGTGTGATGTTCCCCAACCGAGTGAGACTTTGTGGGCTTTTTTGGTAACAGGGTAGTCTCCAAGAGTTATCCAGTAAGTTTTCCCCACTGGAGGGGCAGGATCGTGCAATATAAATCACTGAAGACCGTTGGGCCTGGTGAGGTAAGCGCTGGCTAACTGATGTTTACAGCTAAGCCTCAAAACAGATTGTAAGACAAAGAACAAGTTTGGAGTGGTTGCGTTCCTCCCGGAGGTGGTTCAAGGACGTAGGTGAGTGTAGGTGTAGGAATCCTTGGTCTTTAGGGGACGTGATGTGGTCAGGGAGGAAATATGAAGGAGGCCAGAAAAGATTTGCCTCCACTGTGATGAGAGGAGAGTTCACTGGAGTTCACAAGCTTATTAGAAACCCCAATTGAGGGGGTGGGGCGAGGCTGTAGTTTTAAAACGGGCATGATAAGACATCAGCTGTAATTTTGTGGAGGCACAAGACAAGTGGCTTGCGTCATCCTGGGCAGGTGTGGAGAGGCCTTGACAAGCCGCAGGACCGATGGCCCTGCCAATGTGCCTGCACATGACCACACTCTTTCCCACTTGTTGCTACATGTGTGCTTGCTCGTGTGAAGCCACAGTGCATTGCATCTTATGGAGAAAATGATGTCTTTGGGGGGAATACATACATTGTGAAATTCAGACGTGATGGTGAGGGTTTCTTGTGCCATCTGGACTATGTCCTTACACCTTTACATAACTCTTTTCTTTCTTTGCTCCTTGATTGGATTCAACATGGGCCATTTATATCCAAACGGAACGTGGCTGTGCTTCAACCACCTCTGATCCACGAGGACAGGCAATTTAACAACAGTGGAGGGCCAGCCACCGCAGTGCCAGTTCCCCTCCTACTCGATTACAACGTGCAAGCACGACATCTTCTGCACATTCTCAAAACCTCCGCTTGTGGTTGTCATCACTTCTCTCCAAGGGCCCCTCATGGCTGTCTTGGCTCTCAGTGACACTTTGCAGGCTGCCTCTCTCCCATCATTCTAGAACATTCGAGCAGCAAGTGACTCTTACTCCTCCGGTGCCTCTACGGGAACAACCCTAGAAATGCTCCACCCAAAGTGATGGATTCAGGGTCACCTCACCTTTCTTGGCTCTCTCTACTTTGATATCTAATGTTCATCCCTACCTCACTGCCAGTTCCTCTGGCCCAGCCCCAAACTGACATTCTCTGAGCCCATCCCAACTCTGCTAACACATATGGTTTACATTACTTCCTTCTCATTCATACTGAATGAGCCTAAAAGTGAAACTGGTAGAGAGGGCTATCATCATTCGGGTTCCTATTGTCGTGGGAGAGTAGAGTTTGAGGAGCTGTCACCTCTGGCATTCCGAATGCCACGGAGAAGTTTGCACAGGCCTCAAAAATGCAGCTAGGTGCCCTTTCAGTTTGAAGTCCAGACCCCAAGAATATCGGTTCCGTTTTTATGTGGACCTTGCTATTGACAAGATATCCCAACTTGATGCTTGTTTTTCTAAATCTTCTCATATTAGTGCTAATCTTGGCAGAATAACCAAGGTGCCAGCAAGGTTTACTGGCACATGAGCCACATCAACACCACACTTGGGCATAGTGTTGTGTGAAACAGGACTTGTATTTCTAAACTGATCATGTCTGTGGCTTTAATTTTAAGCACCTCCAAAAGAACCTGTTTTAAAATGACGATGTAACAAAATAAAATATTTCTCTTAATTCCATATGCAGTATCTAGTCTCAACTTAATGTGGCAGCTCAGGGGGAGTGTGTGTGTGGTGTGGTGGGGCTGGCAGGGTTGGGGTGGGGTTATCTCCATTACCAGTAATATACCTCTAGGTGCTAAGCAAGGGATTGACTTTTTTTTTTTTTTTTTACTTTACTGCATTTTGGTGAAAGCTTCCCAGCAAACGTGGTTCCCAATGAACGTGTTCCACAAACTGCTGCGGGACATTAGTTACATTTGTCACAATGTGTCCACCTCGTCTGATTGCAGTCTGGTCCCCTTGCAGGACGCCAGCTTCCTGGGCTTCTGACCAACCCCCTGTGCTTTTGAGACATTCGGATGGCTACTCTTTTCATGTCATTTTTTCTTTCACAAGAACAGGTGGTCTCAGGGGGATGGGCTCAGTTCTAGGATTAAAGAGTGTTTAGGATGGTCGTCTCAGTGGGTTCTGGTTCTTTGTTCTCTATTTATCCAGTTTTTTAGCTTTAAAAAAATTATTTTTAGGATGGAGGGGGAAAATGAGGAGCTGGTACCAAGGGCTCAAGTAGAAAGAAAACGTTTTGAAAATGATGATGGGAACAAACGTACAAATGTGCTTGACACAATGGATGGATGTAAGGATTGTGATGAGTTGTATGAGCCCCCAATAAAATGATTAAAATATATAATTAATCATTTATTGGGGGGGCTCTTACAAATCTTATCAATCCATTATTCAGGTGTATTAAGCACACTCGTATACAGGTTGGCTGTTTTGTTTTTTTTAAAGCTCGAATTTGAGTTCTACTCTGTTCTTCTTCTGTTCTATCTGACACCATCTATTATGACCCTGGTCAGAACATTGCACTGTCAGGGTTGGTGGCCAGGAACCACTAGGTGTTCTGATCTCGGGTTGGGTAAGGCTGAGGCTCTTGTAGGCGGGGTTATCTCCTTATGGCCTCGCTGCTGCCCAGACCTGGAGCTGTGTCTTAGATGGTCGCTCACCAACGCCAACGACTCCAGCTGCTACCTACTTCACTAGGGTGCTGATCCTGCTCTGTGTGAGCTGGGGTAAGGTATTACCATCACTTACAGATTCTGGGTGGCCTCTGCCTGTCTTCAGTAATTCCTGTAGGCGGGGGTGAAGGGGTGGGGTGGGGACCAGGGTGAGCCAACGGCCACTTGTAACTACAGCCTTGGTTCCCTTGCTATTCTCTGGCCC